TTTATGGTGTATTTCTAAAACGACTGGCTGCCTCCACATGTCGAGGTTTCTCCACATCACTTTAATCGCCACTGAGAATGCAGAGGCATCACCATTGATGATGGAACATCCCCGTGTGAAGATTTCCACACACGTGTTCCTCTGTCTTTCCCTCAGCTTTCCCCTTCCTTGGTTCTCAGGGGTGTTGTTGGCATACATTGCTTCTGAGGTTGTTCATTGCCCCTCTCTTTCTGCTCTGTCCCCCGGGGGGACGGGGAAACCCCCGCTCAATGTGTCCGTTCCCCGCTGGCCCGGATTGGGCTGCTGGGGGGAACCCCACCCCCAAAGTGCCGGGAGCACGGAGACGTGCCCGGTGTGATGATGTCACCCAGAGGTGACGTCATTGTGTCGGGCACGTTGCGGGGGGACGCTATATTGCTCGAGGGGAAACTCTACGCCCCCAACGTGCCTGGCATGATGATGTCACTTCTGGGCGATGTCATGGCAGGGCACGCGCCAAGTGCACGCGCCAAAGAACTCCCAGGGAGGGCCAGGACTCCCCCCGCTGCAGCCAAGGTAGGACTTGGCAACCCTAGCTCTTATCTTCACATGTGCACCCTAGTTCTATAGCAGTTCTACTGGAATCGGAAATAGATAAGTGGGAATAGATTATTATAGTGGTATGTCCCCGGGAGAGCTTTGAGCTCTGCGGATAACAACCTGCTGGTGGCCCCTGGCCCCAAAGAAGGCTATCCTTGACCAGGGCCTTTTCAGTCCTGGCCCCAACCTGATGGAACTCTCTGCCTAATACCATCAGGGCCCTGCGGGATCTTATGCGATTTTGCAGGGCCTGTAAGGCAGAGTTGTTCTGCCAGGCTTTTCTCTCCTCCCCCCTCCCACTCTGAGCTTGTGTGCGGACTCTAATCTGGGAGAACCGGGTTTGATTCCCCACTCCTCCACTTGCACCTGCTGGATGACCTTGGGCAACCCATAGTTCTGGCACAGCTGTCCTTGAAAAAGAGCAGTTTCTGCCAGAGCTCTCTCAGCCCTGCCTACCTCACAGGGTGTCTGTTGTGGGGAGGGGAAAGGGAAAGGAATTGTAAGCCGCTTTGAGACTCTTTTGGGTAGTGAAGGGCGGGGTATAAACCCAATCTCTTCTCTTCTTCTTCTGCTACTACTATAGTGCAATAGCAATTGTAGTGACAGTGCTATAGTAATTGTTATAACGCTATAGTGCTTTAACGATTACCGATTTTTAAAAAGTGCCCTCAAAAAGTGGTACAGCGGGGGAGAAAAAACAAATGGTGGGAGAATAGTCTCTGCAAGTGTATGACAGAGGGAAGGTGGCACTGATGTGGGCAGGACTTTTTTCAAGGCAGGGATACAAGCACCGTTCCTTTCAGGCGGCACACTAACAGTTTTGGGACTGCGTTCTTTCCAAAACGATTAGAGTAAAGCAGTTTTGGGAAAGTACATATTGAGGGTGGGGAAAATCCTGGAAACAGGAAGATTCTGACATGATATATGGAAGCTCCAAAAAACATTTTTTTAAAAAAGCGTTCCAAAATAGAACGAAAACTCCACGTGGAAGAAACTGTTGTGATCCCCCTTCGGTCCTTTTTCTGGGAGAAAGGAGGCCTACACATAAACAAGTAAACTTCTAATGAGGAAACGTGTGAGCAATGCAAAGGTCCATTACTAATCTGGAGGTGCTTTACTTCCCTTCTCCCATTCCCACAACTGCAAGGAGGCTGGATCCAGGACAGAAACAAAATAGGTAAAGGTAAAACCCTCCTCCTGGTTCCGTGCCAGGAGGGTTGACGGCGACGATGGCAGTAAGAGAAGCAGCGGCGGCGAGGAAGAACAATGGCGGCGTCTGGCGAGGCGGGACCGGATGACGCAACTGCGGAGCGACACGGCGTGGCTGGAGCCCGAAGGGACGAGTAGCCGGGAACGCCACAGTCCAGGAGCAGTGCGCATCAACGGAGGGTCCATCTGCAGCCTGCTGATGGTCGCCGCTCGTAGGGGTCATGAGCGGTAGAGAAGTCACATGTAAATAAATAAATAAAATAAATAAATAAAGGTTCCCCTGCTCGAAAGCCAGTCAAGTCCGACTCTAGGGTTGCGGTGCTCATCTCCGTTTCAAAGCCGAAGAGCCAGCACTGTCCGAAGATGTTTCCATGATCATGTGGCCGGCATGACTAAACACCAAGGCGCATGGAACGCTGTTACCTTCCCACTGAAGTGGTACCTATTTATCTACTTGCAATGTCTTGCTTTCGAACTGCTAGGTTGGCAGGAGCTCGAACTAGAAACGGGAGCTCACTCCATCATGTGGCAACTCGGGTCTTGAACTGCTGAACTACTGACCTTCCACAGCCTGCAGTTCAAACAAACAAACAAACAAACAAACAAAATACCAACAGACAAAAAAAAATGTGTTGCTGGACAGCGGTGTTTCAAATTCACCACCCTTAGGGTGCACCGTTAAAGGCAGCATAGTTCCAGGCAGACAGACCCGGCCCATGGAGTTCTTCTGCATCACCCCACTGAAAATGCGCGGAAGCTGCACGGCACAGCACAGCCCTTCTCCCACTTCAACACGCGCGTGTGCACAGGATTGTGACGACAATACTAGTGGAACAGATTTTCTATACTAGTCTATGACTGTACTTTTATTATGATTTGTGTTTTAATCAGTTGACTGCATTTAAACTTGCTGTTTTCTTAGGCCCCAAACAAATCTGTACTACTAGTAGGGGTGTCAGCCTCCAGGTGGGACCTGGGGATCCCCCAGAATTACAGCTCATCTCCAGACTGCAGAGATCAGTTCCCCTGAAGAAAATGGATGCTTTGGAGGGTGGACTCTATGGCACTGTACCCCACTGAGGTTCCTGTCCTCCCCAGGCTCCACCTCCAAATCTCCAGGAGCTTCCCGACCTGGAGCTGGCAATGCCCACCCCACACCCCCTGCTGGTGGCTGGGGGGACCTGGCAACCCTATATATTGTTTGTTTGTTTGTGTGTATATACACAAACAAGGGTTGTGTGGCAATGTCGTTTAGACAGGGAGCGGTGGCGCAGGCAGTAAGGGAAGCCTGCTTTAACAACTGGACGAACAGCTTCGGCTGTTCAAACCCCACCGTGGTCAGGGTGAGCTCCTGGCCCTACGTCCCAGCTCCCGCCCTCCCAGCAGTTCAAATGCCCTTTTTTTTTTTTTTTAAAGGGCAAGTAGATAAAATGGGTACCTGCTACTAGAGCGGGGAGGCACCCGCCCCTGGTGTAGCAGCGATGGTGGAAAGCGGAAGAACGGAGAAGCAATGAACGGCGGCGACGGAGAAAAAATGGCGGCTGGCGAGGCAGCGAACGAAAGGAGGCCGGACTAACAAGGTGCGGAGGCGGAGCAACGCGGCAGGCTGGAGCCTGACTTGGACGGAGGCCGCTGCGAGCATGCGCGGAAGCACGGAGTGGTCCAGGCCTGGAGGCGGAGTTGCGACAGCCGGGAAAAAGCGGAACAGCAAAGACCGGCGCCGGAGGAGGGTCACCGCCGGACTGTCCCCTCGCAAAAAGAAGATCTGCTACAACAGGATAAGGGTGCCTGGTAGGCTTCTCACCTTCCCTACATATGTGGCCCTAGATTAGATTGGTTAAATCGGAATTGTAAGCCGCTCAGAGCCCCTAGGGGGTGAGTGGGATAGAAGCCGAATGAATGAATAAATAAATAAATAAATTTTCTGCACCAAAACGTCTCTGGCTGGACCTGTAGATATCCTACAGTGGTGAAATACTGACAAAATAACTGCATCCTACACATACCTTGAACACGTGGAAGGCTCTGGCTGGGTGCAATCCTGACAAATTCCTGGGAGTATGCACCATTAAATAAACCTGAGTATGATTCTGAGTTGACCTGCTCTAGATTACTCTAGGGTTGCCAGACCCCTGGTCAGGGCAGGGTTTCCCCCAATTTCAGGGGGTTCAATACTCCGTTGGCCCCACCCCAAACAGCCCCCCTGCGCCAATGTGGTCGGTGCGATGACATCACCTGGAAGTGACGTCATCACGCTGGGCATATTGACATGTTGATGCTCTAGCATTTTGGTTAAAACTCTATGGTTACCATAGAGCAAAGCGTGCACAAAGAAGACTCCCGGACGGACCCGGGAGCCCCCCACAAAAAGTGAGGTAAGACCTGGCCACCCGGATTACTCTCTTAGCCACACACTTCTAGATCCCAGAAACTGGCAGGAGAATTGGAAGGAAACAAATAGAGAATAGAAGTCCCTGTCAGTGTTCCCTTGAAGCTGTGGAGTCCTGTGAGCAAAAATCCGACTTCGTGAGCTACTGGCAGTAAAGTTGTGCGCGAACAATTTGGCTGCTGCATAAATTAGTTTGCTCTGGAGCCATCCTTCCTGAGCAAAGACAAAAATGTGTGAGCCGGAGGCTAAAAAACAGTGAGCTCGCTCACACTAACTCAGTTTAGAGGGAACACTGGTCCCTGTGCGCCCATCTGGTACTGTCAGCGAGAAAGAGAGGCAAACAGAATGGGAGGCAGGAAAGAGCATGAGGTGTGTGGGGGGGGAATCGGTTGAGCTTCAGTCTTCTCACACCACAACGAGGAGAAAGAATGAAGCGAACTGCTGCAGACCATAGGTCTGAACCACATTTTTTCTTGCAGAAGAAAGCAAAGAAAGAAAAACAGCAGAGCAGACAAAGGTTAGGGCTAGACTATATTCCAGACTAGTTTCCTATGTTGTGGGAGGCTGGCATTCAGAAGCGGTATGCCTGCCACACCCGTCGTCTGAAGCAGCATCGTCCATTCTATCATTCTGCGTTCTACCACATCGTTCTGGGAAACCAGCCTCATCAAAGAGCAATGCGAGTCAGATCAGCTGATAATGCCTCAGTCAGTTGCACGCAATGAAGAACCGCCCACCTCGTCCACTGGGAAACTCCGCCCTTTCCCAGTCCCGAGCCGTCCTGAAAGCCCCGCCGCTCAGTGCGCCCCGCTGCAATACTTACTGACGCATCTCCCTCCGGCCTCCTCAAAGCCAGGGATGCACAGGCAACGGCCCACCGGAACCAACCACTCCCCATCGGGACTGCAGTGCATCCTGGGTGCCAGCCCCACTTCCTCGGCTGCATTCTTGAGACAGACGCCGGGCACTTTCACCAACCCGTCGGAGCCTGCCAACGTCTCCGAGAAGTTAGCCAGTCCGCGTATCGTTTCCGAGCAGGTCTTATAATACACTCTCACTGAGACCAACGCGACACACGCCCCCGAGTTCTGGAAGGCCAGGTAGAAGCCGCGCTGACTCAGGTTCTCGATACGGGACACCTCCATGTTCAGTTGCAGAATGCCCCGTTCAACGTCCCGGGCTGTGAAGCTGCGGTCTCCTGCGACGGTATTGACCTGCAAGGGAAGAGGTTTGAGGTCATTTTATACATCCGGCAGAATCGAGCTGCAGTGACTGGGGTGTGTGTGCGTGAGACGCTATTGGCCCCTGTCGAGTAGCTGCACATTTACGGATGAGCTACACATTACATTTCTACACTACAGCAACTAGCAACCCCAGGTCCATTTCTGATCGGAAAACTGTGCAGGAGGGGTAAGTCTAAGCCCTCTCACCCACACGCCACAGTTCCAAAGAAAATCAGAAGGGTAAAACTTCAGGCTATGGCTCCCTACCACTACTTGAACAACTGTGGTGTAGGGCCGGCCCTGGCGTGGAAATAGAGCCAAACCTCTGCAGGAGTCCAATAGTCCGCTGAATCGGGATCCCTGGTGGTACATTCCAGAGCGTGCCATCTGACTTAATGAAGGAAAGATTAGCTTTGCAAGCATTTTTAAATGTATGATTGTTTTAACCTGTTTTGAAGTGTTTCAAATGTTTATATAGACTAGGTACACTGTACCGACTTGTAAGCCGCCCTGAGCCTGCTTGCGGAGAGGGTGGGGTATAAATGTAACTAATAAATAAATAGGGACATCCCCATTCTTCCTTGTCTACAAGAAGGACGTAAGAAGAGCCCTGCTAGACCACTCTGGTCCTGCATCGCCTAACCAACAACAACCAACCAAAGATGGAACACTCCAGACAGACGCCTTCATATGGAAATAGACCCACAGTCCAATTGATTATTGTTGGTATCCTCTGTTATTGTAGGTATTATCAGGCTTTTCCTTCATCATCCTACACTTTGCAATCCCGTATTTTGTACTGCTCACACAATAACTTCCTTGCTGTTCTGTCTTGTTTGCGCTTCTAACTGTGGCGCACATCACTATTGAATTTTCTATTACTGGTCCATTTCAGCTCTTGAGAAGCGACACAGAGGGGAGCCCTTTATCCCCATATTGCTCAGTCCCCAGCAAGATTGGACCCCTAGGGTTTGGGTTGTTTTTTTTTTAAATCTATAAGAAGAGGAAGAGAGAGAGAGAAGAAGAAGAGGAGATTGGATTTATGCCCTGCCCTTCACTCGGAGTCTCAGAGTGGTTGACAATCTCCTTTCCCCTTCCTCTCCCCACAGCAGACACCCTGTGAAGCAGGTGGGGCTGAGACAGCTCTGAAAGAACTGTCCTTGAGAGAACAGCTCTGAGAGAACTGGGACTGGCCCAAGGTCACCCAGCTGGCTGCATCTGGAGGAGTGGGGAATTGAACCCGGCTCTCACAGATTAGAGTCCTTCTGCTCTTAACCACTACACCAAACTGGCTCTCTAAAATGGTGTGGACTTGGGGACACCGTGTTGTCTAGTTTGGCCCTCAGTAGAGCCAGGTTAAGTGACCAATTAATTATTTACATCATTAATTCAGGAGAAAGAAAGGCTCTGTGTTGACTGTAGAAAATGAAACAAAAAACCCCCTAAAAGGCACAACCCAGCAAGAAGATTTGTCGTACAAACCCCATGGAAACAAAGACTGCTTTGGCATCGTTCTTTATCATTTCTATGGGGTTTTGGCAGGGAATGTCCTGACGGGCTTTACCCAAATGTAGTTAATAGCCGAGGAATGACTAAAATTACATTCTCAAGTGCCCAAATCAATCAGGAAAGAATCCAGCCACTTTTAAGGCACACTGCTTGATTTCTGTAAAGAAGAGGAGGAGGAGGTTGGATTTATGCCCCGCCTTTCACTCGGAGTCTCGGAGCAGCTTACAATCTCCTCCTCTTCCTCTCCCCACAACAGACTCCCTGTGAGGTAGGTGGGGCTGAGAGAGCTCTGAGAGAACTGTGACTGACCCAAGGTCACCCAGCTGTCTGCATGTGGAGGAGTGGGGAATCAAACCCAGTTCTCCCAGATTAGAGTCCGCGCTCCTAATTACTACAACAAACTGGTTAGAATTGATCTAATATAAGAACTGATCATGTGTAAGAATAACGATGAGAAGACTCGATGTTTTAAAGCTAGTTGGAGGGTCTCCTCTCTTGGGTTTTTAGTCAGTAGTGGGTACTTTACTTTCTCCCATATATGTAGTTCCCTTATCCCCTTTTCTGTTGTAGTTTTTTGTAGTTAAAATAAATAAAGAAATAATCCCCTCCGGGGGGCTCAAAAAAAAGGGAAAAAAAGAATTGATCATGTGCTTAAATCATTCCCAGTGAAGCCACCAAGGACCTAACCGCACCCAGGTCCACAAGGGGTCCTGATGAGCCGATGCATGCTGGGAATTCCCACTCGGAACTAAAGATTCTCAGGTGTGTGTGTCTGCTAAGTGCCCCCAAGTCACTTCCGACTTATGGTGACCCGATGCATGGCTGACCTCACAAATGTCCTGTCATTAAAAGCCCTGCTCAGGTCTTGCAAACAGAGGGGCAGTAGCTTCCTTGACACAATCAATCCATCTCCTGTTGGGCCTTCCTCTTTTTTCTCCTGCCTCCAACTTTCCCTAGCATTGTGGTCTTGCCCAGTGACTCTTCTCAATTCTCAGGTGCAGGGGGGCAAATTCAGAGGAACTGGTTGGCTGCTGTGTGAGACAGGATGCTGGACTAGATAGACCACTGGTCTGATCCAGCAGGGCTCGTCTGATGTTCTTATGTTCTTGACTATGCAGTTAAGAAGCCGAGCTGCTTCTTGGTAAGTTTCAGCTGGGAACTCCCAGGGTACGTCTGCTTGTAGGGTTGCCATACCTCCAGGTGGGGGCTCATCATCTCCTAGAATTACAACTGATCTCCAAATGACAGACTGATTCCCCAGAGAACGTGGCCGCTTCGGAGGCTAGATTGTATGGCATTATACCCTGCTGAGGTCCCTCCTGAGGCTGAATCTCCAGGACCGATTTCACACAAGAGCTGCGCCACGGTCGCGCCTCCCTTTGCCCCGCTTCTATTGGTCAATTTCCCACTCGAAGCCGCGCGGCCGCATTTTGACCCATGGCTTCGCCTGATTTTCCCCACGGTTTTGTGATCCTCAAAAAACAGGATCACGAAACCGCGGAGATAATCGGGAGAAGCCGCGGGTCAAAATGCGGCTGCGCAGCTTCAAGTGGGAAATGGACCAATTGTCAGCTAGCTGCCATGTTTCATCCGTATTTGTCCTTTCCTGCCTGTGGCGCGACTGCGCATGCTTGCTCGCTTGCTTTGCTCGCTTGCTGTAAACAGCGATAAGGAGGCGCTCATGAGACCGTGCGAACTGGCGCTGCCAGACAGGGTTATCTGACTAACCTTGAGGAGGAGGGAGGGCTTGCGTTCCACTGTTGGTGTGAATATTTCTGCTCTCATGAAGCACGGAGACTCTCCCGTTCATTATGTAACCTTCCGCCAGGAGAATTCCCCCGCGCTTGCTTGGATTTCATTTGGTTAGCCAACTGCAGCATCATGTTATATGTAGTGATGCATCCGCCCCATTGTCATTCCTAACAATATACCTGTAGACCATGACAACGGACCTGTAGTCTAATAAAGCATAACGATTCCCTGGAAACGTGTGTGGAGATTTACATGCTGTTGAACCTGACACCAATAGAAGCGGGGCAAAGGGAGGCGCGACCGCGGCGCAGCTCTTGTGTGAAATCGGTCCAGGCATTTCTCAAGTCAGAATTGGCAACCCTGCCTGCTTGTCAGAGCCCTGGACTGACCCAGGAACAGTGTATCTTGCAGTTAGGTTCTCTGAGTCTTGGAAAGGTTCAACTTCGCTCACTTATGCCCTTATTATTTACAGCTCACCATGTTATGCCGTGTCCTACAACATTTCAGATCAGATGCGAGAATCCACAATGGAATCAACAGTGACCAGAAAGATGTAGCTAGTCAGCTAGACTGTTGTATTGTTTTTCTTCACTTATGTAACCCTTCCTCAACTGATCACTGTCATCAGGAGATGAGCTGTAATCCGGGGGGAGGGCCCCCAGGTCTCACCTGGAGATTGCCATCCCCAGCATGGCCATCTAAGGCCATCTCACAAGCAATGTTCCCTCTAAGCTGTGGAGTCTTGTGAGCAAAAATTCTGCTTGCTGAGCTACAGGCGTTAAAGTTGTGAGCAAGTGATTTGGCTGCTGCATAAATGAATTGGCTCTGGGGCTGTCCTTCCTGAGCTGAGACAAAAATGTATGAGCCAGAGGCCAAAAAACTGTGAGCTAGCTCACACTAACTCAGCTTAGAGGGAACACTGCCCAGGAACAGTGTATCTTGCAGTTAGGTTCTCTGAGTCTTGGGAAGGTTCAACTTCAGCTCACTTGTACCCTTATTATTTACAGCTTACCATGTTATGCCGTGTCCTACAACATTTCACAGATGACAAAGGGAACGTGCTTAGGTGCTTGTAATGTTTCTGCTCTGCGCCAGCTCCCCATTCCCAACATCTCCACTTACTTACACCTTGGAAGGCTTCAAATGCAACTGCGGGACAGCTGACCCAATGTGGACTCATAAACGTGGTTCGGACCATTCCGCCCCTTGAAAATTTCTCCCGTTTTAAAGGTGCTTCCATTCCTCTGCCTAAGCAATTATCTCCGGTTCCACTCTCCCTTGGAGCTGCGTTCTTCTGCTCGTGTGGGGGTGGGGGTGGAGGGGAAGTTTTTAATTTCAACATCGCCATTCTCTTTCATACTTTGCTGATGATTGTTAAAAAAGTAAGGGACGGTTGCATGGAAAACGTAATTAAATCCTCCCACTGCCAATAAAGGATGGGCTAAGGAATGCTGAGAGAACTGAAGCTTTTAAAACAAAACAAAACAAAGACCCAGGGGGCATGAGAGATGATTTAAAGGGACAGTAGCCATGGCCTGAGGCACCTAAACAGTTTTGTTCAGGGGTCATTTTGTAGAAAAAGAGCTAGGGGAACTCATTAGCATAACTCATTAGCATATGCCACACCCCCTGACATCAGGGGCTTGGCGGTGGATCTGCAAGGCCAGCGGGAGTGTGAGGAAGCCCCGCCAAGGCCCTCCCTGGCCCAGGCAGGCAGGGGTGGGGAGAGCCGGGGAGGAAGCAACTTACCCTCCCTCTTCTCCTGCCTCCTCCTGGCTGAATGAGGGCTGGAAGCGGGGCGGCCAGAAGCAGGGGGCGGGGCTTCGTCATGTGCCCCGCCCCCCTGCACCTCACCCGGGAGAACTGCGTTCCCCCGCGTTCCCCCCCGAAATGACCTCTGGTTTTGTTTAAAAGAAGACAGCTGGTACCACAATAGTTTTTAAAGTGAAAATATTGCCAGAAATCAAGTTCTGAAAAAAGTCAGGAAACCAGTGCAGAAAACACTGGAATACTGTGGGTTTCATCTTAGAGTTGCCAGCTCTGGGTTGGGAAATACCTGAAGTCCTACGAGGAAAGGCTGAAGGAGCTGGGGATGTTTATCTTGGAGAGGAGACGACTGAGAGGAGATAGAATAACCATCTTCAAGTACTTGAAGGGCTGTCATATAGAGGATGTTGCGGTGTTGTTTTCTGTTGCCCCAGAGGGTCGGAGCAGAACCAACGGGTTGAAATTAAATCAGAAGAGTTTTTGGCTAAACGTTAGGAAGAATTTCCTGACAGTTAGAGCAGTTCCTCAGTGGAACAGGCTTCCTCAGGAGGCGGTGGGCTCTCCTTCTTTGCAGGTTTTCAAACAGAGGCCAAGTGGCCATCTGACAGCAGTGCTGATTCTGTGAACTTGGGCAGATCACGAGAGGAAGGCTGCAGGAAGGGTTGCCTCAGTGCTTAGTTCTCGTGGCCCTTTCTTACACGCCCAAGGAAATGCCGATCACCACTTTGGGGTCAGGAAGCAATATTTCTCCAGGCCAGTTTGGCCAGTTATCGTGGAAGTTGTTGGCATCTTCTGGGCATGGATCAGGGGCCACTGTGTGTGTGTGTGTGTGTGGGAATATTTGTGAATTTCCTCCCTTGTGTAGGGGGTTGGACTAGATGACCTTGGAGGTCCCTTCCAACTCAATGATTCTATGATCTTGGGGGTGGAGTGTTGGGATATTTGCAAGTTCTCTCCCTCCTCATGCAAGAGTTACCCTGTTTGTTTGTGTATGCTAATTCTTAGTTAGTTAGCTTAGGACCAATGAACTGTCATGCACTTATTTCCCGCGATAGAGAAGGAGGTCTGATTCACAATGAAACGACCTTTAGCCTGGTCATTGGCTAGTCAATAGTTTGGTGATGTTAACAGATATTTTGTGTAGACGCATTTGGAGGGGGGTGGGGTTTCTTCTTTCTCCCTTTGTTCTAAGATCAGATGCGAGAATCCACAATGTCGTCAACAGTGACCAGAAAGATGTAGCTAGTCAGCTAGACTGTTCTATTGTTTTTATTCACTTATGTAACTAGGGCTCTTTTTGTAGAAAAAGCCCAGCAGGAACTCATTAGCATAATAGGCCACACCCAGCGGCAGAAACTCATTAGCATATCCGGCCACGCCCCTGACTGCACAACTCATTAGCATATTAGGCCACACACCCCATGTTACCAGAAGTGTGGTCATCCAGCCACACCCACCTTTTGCTTGTTATTCTGTTTACCTTGTTTGTTGTCCAGGGCTCTTTTTGTAGCAGGAACTCCTTTGCATGTTAGGCCACACACCCCTAATGTAGCCAATCCTAATGAGTTTCTGCTGTTGGGTGTGGCCTATTATGCTAATGAGTTCCTGCCGGGTGTGGCCAACTCGGGAGCCAGCCGGAACTCCGTTCCTGTGCGTTCCTGCCCAAAAATAGCCCTGTATGTAACCCTTCCTAATAGTGTAGTAAACTTTTAGCTAATTGACACGTGCGTGCTGCATCATTGCCTTTTACTCTGCTAACTTATACAACATGGAACCTGGGGAGGGCGGGGTTTGGGGAGGGACTTCAGCAGGGCCTTATGCCATAGAGTCCACCTTCCAAAGCAGCCATTTTCTCCACGGGAACTGACCTCGGTCCTCTGGAGATGAACTGTAATAGTGGGAGATTTCCAGGCCCCCGCCTGTAGGTTGGCAACCCTATTCCATCGGGATCCCTCCCTTAACAGATGGCCTCGCAGTCCCAGATTAAATTGCTCTGTCGGCCAAGCCAACATGGAAGAACTTGCTCTCCCTTAGATCAGTCCGTGAGAAAAGGTTGAGTATGTGCCAGCATTACAGCAAGTGGGCTTTCCAAAGCAGAGGGTGTTTTTGTTAGTGTTTGTTGTTGTTGTTTTTAATTCACTGTGGATCTGGCCTCTCCCGAAATGCAAACATGTGCTTGTCTGGAAGTACCCTATGATGTAATCTCTAGAAGAGGATTCTTTAGCTTCATGGAATCATATAACTAATAATGATGGGTGGTCCGCCCTTGTGGATCCAAAGAAAATCTCGCACGGGGTGGGCCACCCAGCGCTCAAACCCATGTTTTCGTGAACCTCCAGTAACCCCCTGGTTTTTAGAAAAATCTAACAAGGGTGTACATAGATATAGATCTACCCCTCCCAAAAGTAACCTTTAATTTCTCCATGTGCTCCCTCTAAGATGTGGAGTCTTGTGAGCAAAAACTCAACTTTGTGAGCTACTGGCATTAAAAGTTGTGAGCGAGCGATTTGGCTGCTGCATAAATTAGTGTGCTCTGGAGCCATCCTTCCTGAGTTAAGACAAAAAATGTGTGAGCCGGAGGCTAAAAAACTGTGAGCTAGCTCACACCAACTCAGCTTAGAGGGAACACTGGGGGTGACCAAGGGGTGGGGGAAACTGGCTGATTGAGCAGGGAGGAAGAGGAAGCTAAACGAGAGGGAGCCTTGGGGTGGGGAAGGAACGTTGCTTTTAAGGACCCCCCCTCCACCTTTCATAATATTTTAGTGGAGACAACTAGCAGTCAGTCAGGTGGGTATATCTGGTCAAACGACTGGTATCTTGTCTTCAAAATGTTACATGTTTTTTCCCTGTTTTGGAAAACTGTCCACATCTAAGATGCCATTTTTTTCCTTACACTAGCCGGAGAATGAAATCGCTGCAGGTTGTGCTTCACTTGTCCAGCTCTTTGCAAGACAGCTCCAACGCCTGTCTAATACTTGTGTCCAGAGGCCTCGCCCTCCGGATGCCTGCAATTCCAAAGGACTTGGCTCCTCCTCCCAAAGCCACCCTGGAATCCGGGGGTTCCAGCTCTGAAGACCTTGGCAGGCTCACTTCGCACATGCTGCGTGTTTGGAGACGAAAACCTCCGGAGGTTTTAAGTGTGTCCCTAAAGACGTGAATGGGACAGACATGCCTTTGTAAGTATGCATCACATACAGGCATGCTTGGCTGAATCTCCCTAATGAGCATCTGCTCTGTGGCACACCAAGACTGGTCCCTGAAATCAGCCGGAGCCAGTTGTACAAAACATTGCGTTGTCAGACTCTCCCGTTGTATCACAGTTGACACCTGGCACCCTTGCTGACAGGGTATTATCTCCTGGATGCATGCCACAGTTGGCCTGGCACAAGCTGAGTCGGCGGTGGCAGAAGAGGTGCCAACCAATGCCTCTTCCTTGGGGTGACCAAGTACCTTGAGCTGACCCCTGGAAAGCCTAAGGACATATCAAGGCGCTTGCTCACATCCCCAGTTCTCCATCCTCTCTGAATAGATAGGAACTCTTAGGCTGGGGCAAGTGATGCTCTGTATTCTTGGTGCTTGGGGGGGGGGGCAACAGTGGGAGGGCTTCTAGTGTCCTGGCCCCACTGCTGGACCTCCTGATGGCATCTGGTATTTTTGGCCACTGTGTGACAGTGTTGGACTGGATGGGCCATTGGCCTGATCCAACACTGGCTTCTCTTGTTCTTATGAACATCTGGGGGAAGGGGGGGGTTGGGGCAAGGATCTTCCATTTCCTGCTTCTAAAACTCCGCAAGCTCAATCGACTTGCAGAACGCTTCTCCACGGGCATTAGCCCTACTGACCTTGATGAAGGGTGGCCGGCGGAACTGGATACCGACATCTTGGTCCGATTCCATGTAGTAGAGGTTGAAGGTCTCCTTGCAGCTAACCGCCTCCCCTTTGAAGCTCTTGCAGTCCCGGATGGTGAATTTCAGCTCCACATAGGCACGGGAGGAGGTGTCGCCCCGGAAGATCCAGTTGGTGCGGAGCCAGTGGTCTGTGTCGCCCTCTGAGAAGACGCTGCAGTCCTGGTACATGTATACTGGGGTGCCGTTTATCATCACCTGACTTTCACTCCACTACACATGGAGAAGGAAGAGGGAAAAAAGGTCACGTTAAAACTAGTTTCAGCATGTAGCTGTGTAGGTCTGCAACACAACAGCCAGATTTGAGTCCAGTAACATCTTAATGACAATAAAACTTTTGGGGTATCAGCTTTTGAGAGTCAACAATTCCTTCATCAGTTGCCGACCTGCCAGCATTCAACGGGGTGGAAGGGGGGAAATGAGGAAGCACCAAATGGTGTCCTATGCTGCAACAATGTCACTTCCATGGGATGCTCTAGGATTCATCCCACGACACAGTGACATCATTTCCAGTTCCGCAGCTGGAAGTGATGTCTTGGCATCGCAGGACGCTAAAGCTACCGGGCCTTCTGGGGGTAACCTGGAAGTGACGTCAGTCCTCTCTTGGTTTTACCATAGAGTTTCCATCAATTCCTAGAGATGTGTGACATTACTTCTGGGTTTTCCTGGAAGTGACATCACACCGTCACTAATGGCAATTTTTTCTTTCTCTAGCCAGCCACTGGAGTGCCAGCCAGGCACATGACAATCCTACAGGATCCCATTAAGGTATGTCCGTCTCCTGCCCCTACCAGTCTGCCGAGGCTAGTTGTAACAAATTTACAAAAAAAATATTGTGCTTTTAAATACACAGGCCACAACAGTGGAAACTGGGAAGAAGGTGACTTCTAACTTAGGCATTGGGTAGAAGTACTGCCTGCATATTTTTCCTTAAAACTCCACAGCTGAAAGGACTATGAATTTACTTCTTGGTGTATCCAGTGTAACCTAAATAGGTATGGAAGAGACCTGAGATATTTGGGAGGGTCTGGAAATCCACATTCGCATAGTGAAACTTAAAAGGGAAAAAAACTCTCCCAGTGCTAGATAAGAACATAAGAGATGCCAATGTTGGATCAGGCCAAAGGCCCATCCAGTCCAACACCCTGTGTCACACAGTGGCCAGAAATACCAGGTGCCATCAGGAGGTCCACCGGTGGGGCCAGGACAGTAGAACCCTTCCCACTGTTGACCCCCCCAAGCACCAAGAAGACAGAGCATCCCTTGCCCCAGAGCCCCTATCTATATCTTGTGGCTCATAGCCACTGATGGACCTCTGCTCCATATGCTTATCTAATTCCCTTTTGAAGCCGTCCATGCTTGTAGCCGCCACCACTTCCTGTGGCAGTGAATTCCATGTGTTAATCACTCTTTGGGTGAAGAAGTACTTCCTTTTATCCGTTCTAACCCAACCGCTCAGCAATTTCATGGAGTGCCCACGAGTTCTTGTATTGTGAGAAAGATATTTATTGTATATATTTTTTTACATCGCTGATACAGGTTAGATAGCTTGCCAGCCTCCGGTTGGGAGCTGGAGATCTCCTGGAATTACAACTGACCTCTGGACTACACAGATTGCACATTTTTTATTTATTTGAAACATTTATTCCACTTTTCCTGGAGAAAAGGGCTGCTTTGGAAAGTGGACTCTGTGGCATCATACCCTACCAAGGTCTCTCTCCTCCCCAAATCTCACTCATCCAGGCTGCACCCTCAAATCTCCAGATATTTCAGAACCTGGAGCTAGCAACTCTAAGTAAAGTATGTTGTTGCTGGCACATATGCTTGCAATTTTACATGTAAACTGTGCACTATAACATTTTCAATGATATATGAGCTACTGAGATTATTGCCTTTAGCAGCACATGTTTTAAAACCAGAATGGTACAGAGAAAGATTAGTATTGATTATTGCTTTTGGGTTTCTACCAGGTATGCCAAGCAACACTGGCTGCGTGTCCTGAAGGTTGCCAGCTTCTGTATTGGAAATTCCTGGAGATTTAGAAGTAGAGCCTGGATAGGGCAGGGTTTGGGGAGGGGAAGGACCATAACGCCACAGAATTCACCTGCCACAAAATTCCCCCCCCCCCCAAACCAGTCTGTTGCAAAAGGGAAACTGATCTTTGTCATCTGGAGATCAATTATAATTCCAGGAGATCTCCAGGCCCCACCTGGAGGTTGGCCACCCTAGATGTCATGCCACTTCCGGTAAAAAGCTGGAAGTGATAAAGGGTAGCTCTAGGAATCACCAGGAACTTCTGCAGAAAACTATAGAGTTTCCAGCAGTTCCTAGAATCACACTTTCTCACTTCTGGGGTAGCTCTAGGAATTGCCAGAAACTCTGGCGTTAAACCCATAGAGTTTCCAGTGATTCCTAGAGCTACCCATGTCACTTCCCCTTTTTTTACTGGAAGATGACAAGCAGCCAGTATCCCCCCCCCATACCCTCACCCACAGCCCTTGCACCAGTTGCCAGGCACTGTCTGGCAACCCTATTTTCTACACAGGACTATAAAAACTTTTTCTAACTAGCAAAATCCAGGGGGTAGTTTACTTTCCCTTGTCTACATAGGACTCTCAGAAGCAAAGATTAAGGGGAAATGTTGCAAGTGCGTGCCTTAGACGCAAAATTAAATAAACACCCATGGATTGCAAGATCTATTATGAGTCTTAACCTAAAGCCCTCACAAGTTGCTCAATTCTCATCTTTCTCCGCCTCTGCAAAAATCCACACAAGTCATTCCAATATTTTGATTGTTCTCCCTTTTCCCCTTGAACAAAAACTCTCATCCCCAAGTATCAGGCCTGATGAGAGAACACAACGCCGAATACTGCCTGTCCATCAAACTGGATGGGCAGATCTCCAGAGGTTTACATCAATATTGAAAATCGTGCAGAAAATGTTAGTAATGGGGGGAAAGACCCCAGGCCCGGGGAAGATAAGTTTGCCAAAGCTTTAAAATAAGAAATACAAATGAGAGTGATTTTCCAACCTGTAGACTATCTTTGCATGAGCTCTGTAATGTCAGCAGGATAAACTGAAACTGTGGGCACTTGTTTGGGAGGCACCGATTAAAAATATTTCCCGTCTGAGCATCAGCTCACCATCTGTAAAATGGGAACAATTATGTCTACTTTACAGGGGTGTTGTCAATGTATGGCCAGGCGTCCTGCCTTACAGCTATAGTGGTAGACCTCCTGGCCCTGGGAAAAAATGGAGCGGAGGGGCATGCGTGACATTACTTCCTGCACAAAACCGGAAGTCATGTCACTGTATTGAGGCAATACTCTCGAATTCACCCAAAATTTTATGGTTTAATCATACTACAACACTGAAAAAATTGCCCCCATTCCCCACATGGTCCTGCTGGGTTGCCAAGCTACAGCTTGAAACCCTATGTATATTAAATTTTATACTCAAATGCATTTTTTAAAAAAAAAAATTGCCATTTTGTTACGGGAAAAAATGCTAATTTGCGAGTAGGTAATTAAAAGCTGCGGTGGCTCAAGTGGTTAAGACGCTGAACTGCAGGCTGTGGAAGGTCGGTAGTTCAGCAGTTCGAGACCTGGGTGCCGCATGACGGAGTGAGCTCCCGTCTCTAGTTCCAGCTCCTGCCAACCTAGCAGTTCGAAAGCAAGACATTGCAAGTAGATAAATAGGTACCACTTTGGTGGGAAGGGAACAGCGTTCCGTGCGCCTTGGGGTTTAGTCATGCCGGCCACATGACCACGGAAATGTCTTCGGACAGCGCTGGCTCTTCAGCTTTGAAACGGAGATGAGCACCGCAACCCTAGAGTCGGACTCGACTGGCTTTCGAGCAACAGAACCTTTACCTTTACCTTTAATTGAATGCACAGAAATGACAAGAGCTTCTATAGCCAGACATCACTCTAAGAGAATGCTGGGGAACGAGGCAGGATGTCTGCCCTCATGTCACACCCACCATAGTTAAGACTAACCATGGTTAATAAACCCCCTTCAAACCCTGGTTCCACATCTTGGTTTGAAGGACTCTTCTCTACCCATGGTTAGCAGAGCCCACACTCAGTCAATGACACTAATGGTGGTGGTGGTAGTGGAGAGTTCCTTCAAGTCACAGCCGACTAATGGTGACTAATGATAGGGTCTTCAAGGAGTGAGGCGTTCAGAGGTGGCTGGCCATCACCCACCTCTGCATAGCAACCCTGCACTTCTTTGGGGGGTCTCCCCTCCAAGTGCCAACCAGGGGCTGACCCCGCTTAGCTTCCAGAATCCGATGCGATTGGGCCATCCTGGGTCATCCAGGACCGGGCACACTTACCATGGTGTATTTAAGCCATGGTTTCATGCAAGGTCCCCACCGACCACGCCACTGTCAAACCACAGCTCCCCGACCTTGTCCCCGCATGCCATGCTCTGCCCACTCTGACACATTGGCTTCGGGTACTGCTCAGAGTCCCAGGCCCATCGGCATGCAAGAAAACAAATCAGAGCCGTTGTGGGGTAGCGGTTGGAATGCTAGGCTAGGATGTGGGAGGCCCGGGTTCAGGTCCCCACGCTACCCATGGAAGCTTGCTGGGTGACTGGATGGCCCAGTCACTCCCTCAGCCTAGCCTACCTCATAGGGTTGTTGTTCTGAGGATAAAATGGAGAAGGAAATGATGTAAGCCGCCTTAGGTCCCCTGGGTGAAGTAAACAAAGAAATCAGACCCAGACCAAGACGAAGAAGAAGAAGAGGAGGAGGAGGAGGAGGAGATTGGATTTATACCCCGCCCTTCACTCCCCAACGGTGTCTCAGAGGGGCTGACAAACTCCTTTCCCTTCCCCTCCCCACAACAGACACCCTGTGAGGTAAAAGAAGAAGAAGAGGAGATTGGATTTATACCCCGCCCTTCACTACCCAAAGGTGTCTCAGAGCGGCTTACAAACTCCTTTCCCTTCCCCTCCCCATAGCAGGCACCCTGTGAGGTAAAAGAAGAAGAAAAGATTGGATTTATACCCCGCTCTTCACTTGGAGTCTCAGAGCGGCTTACAAACTCCTTTCCCTTCCCCTCCCCACAACAGACACCCTGTGAGATGGGTGGGGCTGAGAGACCTCTGACACAAACGGCTCTTTTTCAAGGACAGCTGTGCCAGAGCTTGTGACTGACCCAAGGTCACATCAGCAGGTGCAAGTGGAGGAGTGGGGAATCAAA